AGTGCATTGGCATTGACTCTCCTGAAGGTTAGATGCTTTTAATATCGAGTTCCTTTCAGTTTTAATGGGGATTTTGTCAGGTATATTATAAACAATCACGTTATTACAAGAGACTATTCGGTTGGTAACTTCATTAGCGATAAAATCGATAACAGATTCTGCATTTATAATGTCATCAAGTTTTGCAGAAACGATATCTTTCGACTAGAACAGTTTAACGGGTGATAGTGTCTTTATTTCTTGTTTCAAATCATCACCCTTTGATAAAGAGCTAGCAAGTGACTCAAACTTACGACGCATGTTGTTTAGTTGCATAAAAAATAGTGTCTGATTCACTCCTAATATTATCGATACATTTTGATCTTGAGGTGGAACTCATTATTAAATTAGAGTCATCCAGCAGCAGATGTGTTGTAAGACCACTCTCAACATTATCAGATTCAAAAGGAGAAGCAGAGCATGGGTAGATGTAATAACAGAATTGTTATTATATGTAGAATCATGGTTTTCCGGGCTTGGTTTTTTGACATTCAACCCGTATCGCTTCCAGTAATAATTCTAAAGCTATTTATGAGTCATAAACTAGTACTCAATGATATTCAAACAATATATATCAAATCGAGTGTTATCGTCACGCAAACTCCAAAAGTATCGCTAATATTATGAAATCGAATCGCAGGCATACACATAAAACGAGGTGCCGACGACGTGCCTTAGTGAAGAATTTATTTAATGCAGTGGTAAAGCTGAATGTTAAGCCAACTTCATTACGATTTTACATTTTATCAAGATGTATGGAATCTTACTACTGAAATACTGATTCATTCTGTCACGTTTGGTACTATGTAAATCAGTGAGAAATCAGTGATGTTATCATTCACTCTAATTGATGAACGATGATGAGATTTCAAAATTGACTTTCTCAATGCCAAAATATCTCATGATCCATGCAGTGTGGATTGTGTAATGAAAGACTCTAAAATTATGTAAACTAGTTGGTAGTACAAATATTCCAGTTCCAATTCCCTTCTGAAAGAAAATTGCATAGCACTGAATTCACCAACCAATAACATTCAATGCAATTGGTTTATGGAATTCATTACTAATTATTGATCGATTAAGATGGAATGTTGTGTTTTATTGTCTAGTTGAATGTTCAACACTTCCATAACTGACATGGATTGTAACATAAAGAGAACACACATTCCTACCATACATCAGTGAATTTACAATAAATGTTTCACAAACCAATCAAGCAAATAATGAATAATCTTGATTGTGAGTTAAAGTAGGTCTGTCGCAATCAAGTTGAGTTCCATAAATGTTCAGTCTGGATGTGAACTCCTGTTTAACACGAGAAATCATGAATACATATTAAATTTTGGTTATCTCAATATCTGGAATTGCCTACGCTTTCAAATATAAAAATCTTCTGAACATCAGTCGTTACTTATTAAGATGAATAAATTGAGCTTCATTTCTCTCTGCCCAGTCTAGAATGATGACGATTCCACATATACTGATATTTTGAACCGTGTAAATATATTAGATTTACTTGTTGATAGAGTGAGAATGATCCGTGATATATATTAGTAAATCCTCTATTGTCGTCTCATTGGATGGAACTGTGACGAAATTATTATCGTTTTTATTGTTAACATTTAGTGTCACTGTTAAAGAGGAGGTGGAGATGGTGCTGTACTGTGGACTCCGTTGTTGGGTCTAGAGATGAGTATTAAGTTGGTGTTGTCTGTTGCAGATAGTAGACGTCTAGCGGAGTGATCTGGTGAGATGATATTGTTTGTGATACTCAGTGTTGAGAAGAGAGAAGAGAGAAGACGCGAGACATTTGAGTGCAGGATGGACATCACATTTAGATGATCTGCGTGGTGGGGACTGTTACATAGTTCAGTGTGTCAACGGAATCGACATTTCGATGAGGAACGGGGCGCAGAATGTGAAAGAGGAGTAAAGGTGCATTGTGAGAAGAACGACTGAAGGAGCGACTGTTTAAAGAGGGAACAAGTGTGGTGTATGTTAATGAGGCTGACAGATGTAAGTAGTACGTGGCAGCAATCGGAGTGGGATGTCTGTCAGAAGAAGTTTCAAATGAAGAGAATAGGAAGGAAACGAATCACAATTAAAATAACAACTGAATTAAAACAATAATGCAGTATGTAAAAATCAATGCAAAGAAGTTGTGCCAATTTGTATTCAATATATGATTTGCATATTCTTTTTTACTAAATCACTATATGATTTTTTATCAAACAAAACAATTGGGTTTCTTTCCACGTGAGTATTCGTTCACTGCACTACAAATATTTAAGATGAATGAAATATTTTATTATGTTTATTGACAGATTCGAATGCCTAGAAATGAGATGACGCAATGAAGTTTTGTATGTGAATAACTCCTATGATTTCAGAATGGCAACAAAATCACTACTAGACATCATGGTTTTGACGTCACAAAACTGATCCCGCCTACATAAACAAGTTTTCGATAGTATTTGAATTAGTTGTGTTTAAATTATGATTATTGATGTTAAATGAAATGGAATATTGTTATTGATATGCACATACTGACGATGGTATATGTAAAATAGCACTATCATCAAATGAATTGATATAGTCGATTGATAAAATTCTATCTAGATTGACGTAAATATTCATACATTAACACATTGCTGTAAACTGTTAATTGTCTAACCAACTATTCTTCAGTCGCAAACTCAACGTCAACAAATATCTCTCGTAACATATTCTTCACTTATCTGTTCGATATAGTCATATGAAACTACATAACATCAATATTCATCTACTAAACACGAGATTATTCTGATTTGCTTACACTCCACTTAATTATTTATTCCCGATTTCATACAACTTTATACACAATATAATCTTTCAGTAAACAGAGGGGTTTTTCGGACATTTTAGTAATTCAATAATTGAACTAATGACCCAATTGAAGCTAGACCACCATGAAAAACCTGTAAGCAATGGACGGCCGTTTCATCCTAGTATGGAACTCTTCAACAGTGCAAATCCACGATCACGCACTGCGAGATTCGATCCCAGGTGTTCGATGGTGATCTAGCTTCCAATGAATCATGAATTCGATTGTTAGATTACTACAATCTCCGAAAAGCCCCTCTCTGACTATAATCATCATATACTCACTAGTGACTGTTTCCAAGAATTAGTGACGAATGAATATCTGTCGATACGATTGACCTATTTCAACGCACAATCAAGATTATTCATTATTTGTTTGATTGATTTGTAAAATATTTATTGTAAATTCACTGACGTATGATAGAAATGTATGTTCTCTTCAAATTACAATCCATTTTAGTTATGGAAGTGTTGAACATTCAACTAGGCAATAAAACACAACTTTCCATCTTAATCGATCAATAATTAGTAAGGAATTCCATAAACCAATGGCTTTGAATGTTATTGGTTAGTGAATTCAGTGCTATGCAATTTTCTTTCAGAAGTGAATTGGAACTGGAATATTTGTACTACTAACTGGTTTACATAATTTTAGAGTCTTTCATTACACATTCCACACTGCATGGATCATGAGATATTTTGGCATTGAGAAAGTCAATTTTGAAATCTCATCATTGTTCATCAATTACAGTGGATGATAACATCACTGATTTCTCACTGATTTACATAGTACCAAACGTGACAGAATGAATCAGTATTTCAATATTAACATTCTATAGATCTTGATAAAATGAAAACTGTAATGAAGTTGGCTTAATATTCATCTTTACCTCTACATTAAATAAATTTTTCACTAAACTAATAAATTATGGTTCTATGTTCAATATTTAGATTGCACACAGCCTAGGTAACTTCCACAATGTGCATGCATATATACATACAAATGGTAATTATTAGATGGTATTAGTTAGAATTTAGTTTTACCTTTTTGAATATCATAAACGGAATGCAGCTATCAAGACATTAAACATGAAAGATTGGTTAAGCGAAGTGTTCGCTCTTTGTGAAATTTATTATCAATGCTGTCACCATATCAAACAGAAGTTAATAATCAGAATTGTTATCAGAGTGAACATCAACTCTGAGATATAGGAGCATCCAGTTGACGAGTCCCAAACAGGACGAAACGCGCATCAAACTGGATTCCACTGCTAGGCATTATCAATCTTTGCTTATAAAAGCATATGAATTAAAGCAATATCGAGGCATACTCACAGTATGCACATATGCCAATAACAGACTGATCAATTCCAATCATAAACCTCTATGGGAAAATACAAGCAAAACAATACTAAGTGAGTATTACTATCATCCTGAAAAATAAGTATACATATTGTGTGGTTTTCACATCTCCAACTATGCTCAACAGATATGGTGACGAAACGTCACAAGTAGAATTTCAAAGAAAAATACGCCTATCGTTTTACTTCTAAAGCTCAATCAATCCACAATGCTCTCAGTGTTATAGTCAACCAATGACTTTCATCATTAAATCATAATGCAACTCTCAATAACCACAACTAGATTGATTTATGATTGCTATTACACCTTCACAATAAACACTCTGAAGAGATGACAACCATCTATCTTGAAATCTAATCAATACCTTATGATAATAAGAATAATAATGATAATCATCTCCTTTCGATCAAGTACCTTATATTCGTTGTATGAACACTTCGGATCTGATTGGCTGATATACTCTAGTTGAAATATCCTATCGATTGTGTTAAAGAGAGTAAACGTTTCTCATTTAGTATTTTGTTTTGTTTTGAAATACCTCCCAGTAACAAGTTGATTTAAACAAAGAAATTAATGAAGAAATTGATTATTCAGTTGATAAGAATGGTGTATGATGGTGTACAAATGAGTAAGATCAAATGACAATAGAATGAGTGATGAATAGTCAATGATTCGGTTGTTTGATTGACATTAGGTTCCATTGAATATCTTCTTAACATTTGGTCTCAATAAGACAATTATGCAGATAGAAAATTGTCACCATCAAATTTACGTATTCTCAGAAATGACAATATCAAGTAGACAGCTTGAATAATCCCGAATGTGAAACATAGATACATGATGATATTTAGATAAGTTTGTGTATATTCAATTATCGCTGATACACATCCCTTTGATGAAATGATGAGGAAAATTGAATGAAGAATTACAATGAAATGTTTATCATTCATTCAATAAATCTACATGGATAATTGAAATGTGAAGCGTAGTGAAAGTGAATAGACTGTGATGTTGTTGTGAATGAGAATAAGACTGAGAACAATGCAGAACTGTCTTGTCACAGACAACAATCTATTGTTGTGTCGGTAGAGCAGTTCAGTGAGTTTGAGTTAATGGTTTTGATTATACCACTAGTCACTCACTAATATGATTGAGTTATAGTTTGCTGATGAGAGGAACAGAAGTGTCAGTAATGACAACAACTTCAATGTATTTAATGTCACCTAATCTTCAAATACGGAACTCTTATAGATATTCATGTGTGTCATCGAAAACCACGTAATCAAGATGATTGTATTTGCTTAGATGAATAGCATTATGTGATGAATCCTATGTTGGAAATCACTTAGCAACATGTTAACAAATGTTCTTAAAACGCGGTTGAAATTCTAATCAATAAATAAAAATATTCCACATGACAGTTGACTCAACGTGTTCCTAGTGTGTGAGCTGAACATTCAATATTCGGTTGTAAACCGTATGTTAATACAAAAATGAATATTCCATGGGGGTTGTTAAAGTGATGAAATCGGGTAATTTAATTGGTTAAAAATCTGCAAAACTATTGACTTACTTTAGGATATGCGAATTTTCCGTATCTACATGAAGAAGGTACTTGTAATATCCTAGGATTGAAAGGATAGTCTTTGTATGATGACGCTCCACAGCAGTGAAACTATAGAGAAGAAGGCATCAGAATTTTCGATTGGATTATAATTTACAGTCGTTTGTAAATGATCAAACTCTATTTGATAATCAACTCGTTTCTCATATTGTTTAACAGTAGAAGTTAGTGAGCTGTTAACTAACGTAGGGAACTATAGTGGTATGAAGATCAGTGTTTCATGGAACATTAGGTTCAAATAATATCAAACTAACCCTGTCTTCCGTTAAAGCTACTGTCGATGCCATACCGATCCACATACAAGTCACGATAAACAAAACAAAAATGTTCTAAACAAAGGTATGAGTGAAATACACTTGTCCATATTCCACGTATCACATACAAAATATATGATCATTTTATGTTTCTTCAAGTGTCCATAAATTCCAACACATGATCCTAGCACACAGAGACCTCCTGAGATACTTACTACCAGGAAGATCTCTGGTTTCGCACTGTGTAGTATAGTTCTGAATTGATTTAAAGTGATTTGTGGTTGAATTCCGAGTGCTAGCAGAACAACACCGAACACCTGGATTGTATAAGTAAGATGAAATGAACCACCGTATGAGGCGAACACATGTAATGATACTTACTACAAAACTACAATTGCACAGGATGAATACTCTAGTCCAAGATTCACTTGACAATAACATTTCAATATTGTTCACTGAGATGATGATGATATTGTGTATGCTGTATGTACTGGTAATAAATGTGAGTCAATGTATCGTTCACTTTCAATGTGAATTTTCACAAAATATCAAGTGAAATAGTGAAATTAATTGGGATTCGTCTGAATTAATTTATTCATTGTACTGTGTATTTCTAATAGAAATTCATGCACAACACAAAGTTAACTTACTTAATTCAGAAGCACTAATGAATCACATCATCAACATTATCATTGTCACTATGGTTCGGCTTCATTTAATTATCAAATTCAAAAGTATACAACTTGTCATTATAAGTAGTTAAAATTTGGTTTGATGTATGTTTATGCATTTCATATTGATGACTGCGATTTACTGTCACTCATTCAAGTCATGGTAATTAAAAGTAATTTAGCTGTCTATTAAAATCATGTGAAAATGAATTAGACATAAATTTGTCGGAATGGCATCGACTGAAATTTGTTTATTTCCAACATTCCACTCATTAACCTTCCTATTCATATGTGTTATTCAGTGTTTACATCGACATTATGAGTGGTTGCATACTCAGTATGTCCAACAGTATTTCCTCAATTATGATAGGTAACTGTTCATTCAATATCATGAGGACATACTTCAAAATAGAGACAGATGATTGACCAAAATAAGGTTGAAGTACACAAGCTGTGAATGTACGCGACAATAATTTGGTATGTCTGTTAATGTGGCAGTTAACTGTGACTAAACAGGATGAACTGATGTCATTCTCAAAGAGTTCAGATTATTTTACTAGATTCTCATTTGATAGCTCAGATAAGGATATGTCTTAAACAGTTGAAAGACGTATTGTCTAACCAAATTATCCATCGTTCATTTTCATAGATGTTTCTTATCATTTTTGTACTGTATAGTATGTTATCTAAATACTGTTCATGTAAAGAGTAGACAGAAATGAAAATATCCCAAACACTGTGGTGTTCTTGAATGCGGCTTATACTACTGTGGTTCAGTATTTCTGAGGATCTTTTCACAGAAGCTTCAATTACATTGTTGTAACAAATCGAAAACAAAGAAATGATGTTCCAATAAATTCAGAATTCTATGAGTGATTTGAATAAGGAGCCTGTAATGAGATAAAACGTCGGGAATACAATTTTTCATTCATGAGTATATCAAATAATATGGAATAATTCACTTATTTTCTGATTATTCTCGCCAATATAATACACTTGATCATCGTCAACGGTTACTTTTGCTTCATCATTGGCATTACAATATTCTATACTATTGTTATAACAAATTCAATCAACTGATTCATTTCATTTGAACACTCGTATACATGAGAATACTCATGTGAAATATAAAAATAGAAACCACTTCTCTAATTAGTAGTATATACACACATAGAAGTAAACGCAAATACATTCATCACACAATAACGGTAAGTGTTCCACTATCATTTGAATTAACAACATGGAGAACAAAAAGATGCAAATAGCTGTAATGTGCATGATTCCAGTTGTAGAAAAACAAACATTACACACACATCACAACTATCTACTACATTGACGCATCTCAGTTAGAATGAAGATAATTAGTCGCATATTTTGTGACAAATCACACATCATCTATCATCACATTTCAATAGTAAAATCGAATATCTGTCAACATTCTCTTATAGTCGATCCATTATCATCAAACTGTCAAATATGAATTTAAAAAATTCTCATTACACACAACTGTTTGCTTGTAGTAAGTGACGTTTCTGTATTCCTCTTGATTTGCTCACTTCATTCTTATCTATGTTATCAAGATATTTGATGGAGTTCGACTATGGAATAAAATGGAATTAAATCAGAGAACGTAATGAAAGGATACCGTGAAATTTTACAAGGGGCGGTACCACTGATCTCTCTCATGGTTTGCATATCAGGAGGTATTTCCATCTTCTCGTCATTGATTGCTATACGTGGACTATGGAATCATCAGATAAACGATCATATATCTGGTGAATGAATATGATAGTGAGATTATAGTTTGTGGGCAAGCCAAACAGGTATATGATAACAGGTGTCGGATTTTGGCCCGAAATTCACCCATCTATTTGGCTAAATACACTTTTGACATTGAAGCTGATGTCAGTTCGTGATGAAAACCCTAACTTTAATTCTTAACACTAACTATCAACTGTAAATCATAATTCTAATCCTCCACACACTGGTTGATAACGCTCATTTGGTTTCAGTTATCAAGTGGACACACTCAAAGTCACTTTAGCGTCGCTTAAGAGTCGACCATAAATTATATTCTCAGCAATACGATTTATTGTTATTGATGTTTGTGTGTGGTACTTGGTTGTTTTGACAATTGTAACGCTTACCGATTCTGGTATATGATGAAAATCTTTTGTTTCAGGGAATCAAGTGGGATTGATGATGACTGAACTGAATATATTCTAACAAGCTGATCTTTGTTGTTTGTCGTAGATCTTTCTGAATGTTCATAATTTATTAAAGTATACTGTTTAGTTGGCTTTCCGAGAACTGTAACGGAGCCTTCAGAGGTCCTAAAGAAGCCGAAGAGTCCTATTCAATCAGAGCATGATGGAGCTCTCTAGAATATCAGCGTGGCATGCTACCATTCGTCAGTAGCATAATATGTTCTTTAACGGATTGGCCAAAAGATGATGTTGACTTAACAAATGTTAACATCTATAAATACCTGTGTTTTTTTGTAGAAAAATGAACCTTTGGAATAAAGTGTTTATCGATTATTTTGCACCTTTTGTCTCGAGTTTAGATCGCTGTGTACTTCTAGCTTACGGGTTACCAGAATAGCTTAGGAACCGAATAAAGCGTTCAAATTAACAAGACTTATCATATACCTTAAAGGGTTTTAACGATAACTCAGTATACAGAACTCAGTTTAACAGGATTCAAAATACAGTGTGTTATTTATTATTGAATAGTGTTCATAATAGTTTGCCCACATTGTAAATGTTGGGGGACATTTTCTTATAATGATGACAATGTTTATCAACTATTATAACGACTGTCATGAAGGTATCATAATAGATTCTATCAAAAGGTAAGTCAATATTCTATAGAGTTTAGTGCTTTTGAATGATTTATTTGGATGCTTATTTATTCATTTAACTTATTTAACTATGAAAAATAATCAAACAATAATATGTGCTATTGTCCATATTATAATCAAAATATTTTTTAATTGAGATCTTGAACCAATTGATGTTAGACCATCACAATTGAAAACCTGGAAGCACTGGACGGCCGTTTCGTCCTATTGTGGGACTCCTCAGCAGTGCGCATCCACGATCCCGCGAGCGGGATTCGAACCCAGGGCCTTCGGTCTCGCGCGCGAACGCTTAACCAACTGGACCACTGAGCCGGCATCCAATGGTGATAGTTTCTAACATCAACCAATCCACGAAATTGCGCGACCCACTTCCATTGTCTTTAAGTAGATAACTGTCTCTACCCGACAAGGATTAGCTCCACTGGTCACGGCAATGGAAGTGGGTCGCGCAATTTCGTGGATTGGTTGATGTTAGAAACTATCACCATTGGATGCCGGCTCAGTGGTCCAGTTGGTTAAGCGTTCGCGCGCGAGACCGAAGGCCCTGGGTTCGAATCCCGCTCGCGGGATCGTGGATGCGCACTGCTGAGGAGTCCCACAATAGGACGAAACGGCCGTCCAGTGTTTCCAGGTTTTCAATTGTGATGGTCTAACATCAATTGGTTCAAGATCTCAATTAAAACTTAACAGTCTCCACAACCCCATACTAGTAAAAATATTTTTGTCATGTATTCATTATCTTTCAATAATTTACATTGGAATTTGGAAAGTGTTCTTGATCATTCGATTGTGTTACTTCATTGATTTGATTAATGTACAACGTTAATTTCTATCGAACTTTCGAACTGAACGACTGAGTTGTATATAAAATTCCGAAATACGACACCTGTCTGGAATACATTGCTGTTATTTCTGACAATGCAGTCAATACATATACGAACCTCAGTTCTTGATCAGATCTGGTGTTGTATATGTTGTGCATAATCAGATGCAGAAGTAAAATCAGTGTGTATAAATATGAAAGATTATCATTTGAGTGTCAAATTCAAACTGTAAGAAGTCAGTCATGTGAATCTATCATTATTTATTGATAGTAAGGAAGATTCCAAGAGCCGACCTATCATGTTCAAGTCGATTTTGCACTGCTGATTGATGAATAAATGAAGAATGATTATCTGCTGAATTTCATTAACCGATAGAAAGTCTATCATATTTTAATAACTATTATGTTTATGAAAACTAGAAATGTAGTGAACAGAACACGGGTGAGGACAATCGGATTGTATTTAGCACAAAATTACAGAGTTATATGATAAAATAGGAAAACCATATAGTAAATCGTTAATTTGCAAGATATCAATCCATCATATGAAACTGGACTGTTCCCGTTGTAATCATCAATCGATTGTCTCACATTTCATCGTTCATCCGTATTTTTACAAATTGCATTGTGTTGTCGCTCTTCCTTTCTTGATCTTCCCCATCTTCTGATCAATATAAGTAGCATGCACCACAGAAATACTATACGCACTACCCTGACATTTAAAAGTGTATCCAACAGCTTTGTGTTAAAAAGAAAGCTTAAACCAGATAACAATGGGACTTACTATCCAGGTGAGTTCATCATTAGTGAAGGAAGCAATATCTTTAGTTCTCATGTTCATGGACACACTGACTTATCGAAGAGTAGTTGTGATTCGGAAATTACTGTAGAAATTTATGAAATAAAATGATCAAATAAACTCAAATACCTAATACACGTCTTCCTCCATCGTTCAAATCACAGTTGAAACGAATCATAATATTGTTTTTAACTCAGTCTTTGTGATTATTTTTCATAAAAGCGATCTTAATAGCATACATAGTTTATTGAACTCTAAGTTCAAGCCGTCATGTGTCTTTAGGGT